TCGACTCTCCTCGGCTTGCGAGTTTTTAAATTTATTATGTTTCGCTTTTCTCGCTTCCACATATATCTGTTTGAGAATTTTACCCGGATATCTACCATTTATACGCACATTCTAATTAGTTATTCCCAATTAGTCGGTGCTATTCAACAATTTCATTTTCACATACCATTAAGCAAGAGCTTTTCTGAAAGTTGATCTTTATATGTTATTCAGTGCCCTGACCACGACTATGGCACTTACTTTCAGCTGTAATCGCCATTTATCGCCAATTTGGAATTTTGAATGTGGCCTCTCCTACTTAACTCGTACGTACACTCATTTGAGCGACTTTCAGGGCCATTCTGACACCAGATTGAGTCGTCGCCAAAAATAAGCGTCAGAGTCGTGATCACGACCATCGATTAGCCCTACAGGCAAACTTTCGGCCGAAAACATTTTTTTGACTTTCCCGAGTTGTGGTAGACATTTGATCGGCCATGATGACCGGTGTCCCTCACCTTCAGTGCGCGATGGGTAACGATGACGTGGCGAGCCGTCTGGCAGCCGGATCGCGGATTCGGTGGGCAGAGATCCTATCATGCTTGGCTTAGGCCTAGGTGGCCGCAGAATACAAGAGAAACCATCGTGGACGTTTGCGACCCCTAGCGACTACTCGTTTAAAAAAGATTTCGTCCTTCTCTACCGATAGAAGAGGCTCATTTAATATTCTCCGCTTTTTCAAATGGAAAAATACAACGTCAATAGAATGACTCTTGAGCATAACCCAATGCACGAAGTCAAGAAAGTCAAAAAAAATGTTTTCGGCCGAATGTTTGCCTGTAGGGGTAATCCTAATCACGATTCTGACGCTTATTTTTGGCGACGACTCAATCTGGTGTCAGAAAAGTCTCTTGAATGAGGGTACGTGCGAGTTAAGTGGGAGAAAGATTTAGCTCCAAACTGGCGATAAATGGCCCTACAGCTGAAAGTAAGTGCCATAGTCGTGGTCAGGGCACTGAATAACATATAAAGATCAACTTTCAGAAAAGCTGTTGCTTAATGGTATGTGAAAATCGAAATTGTTGAATAGCACCGACTAATTGGAAGTAACTATTTAATGTGGCCTATAAATGTAGATATCCGGGTAAAATTCATCAACAGATATATGTGGAAGCAAGAAAAGCGAAACATAATAAATTCAAAAACTGGCAAGCCGAGGAGAGTAGAATCATCAACTCCACCCTCACTGTCTGATTGAGAATCCTTCCCGCTATCCACTAGGCCATCCGATCATTACAGCTGAGCACCATCCGATCGTTGAAGAAATATTCCGACGAGCCGCTCAAAGCCGCTCACTCTCGATCACATGCCACAAGTAAGACCCATTTGCGACTATTTTTCTCCTCGATTAAAATAGTACCTTCATAAGACCCCTCCACTCAGCAACTGGTCGAAGTTGCAAGTGATTTCCGTAAGCAACCACCGGTTTCCATAGGTTCTCTTTTCACTCCTTTTTTGGATTTCCAGAGCCGCGTAGGAAAAATGCACATCTTTTTGGTACTCCATGCACGTGACCCTGCATCATGCACAAAAACATTTTTCAAAAAGCGCTCCACGTCCTGAACGACCTCCCTGATGTGAGATAGCTGTGGGTTGTGTGATGAGTGCGATGAAATTTCTCAACCAAGCTCCAGGATCGTGAACTGTGACATGTCCGGAACATGTTGGCCTTTAGCTGTCGAGCTATTGTTTCTCAACCTCGTCTCGCAGTTGAGTATAATAGGACTGACTGGTAACCTGTTGGGAGGCAGAAAGTCCTTTCCGCACTCTATCAACGTCTCACCTCATGCACATGATAGCCCTTTACTTGACAGATGAGATCCGATGGAACACTGACTCTCCTAGTGGATTTAGCGGGAGCGGCAGAGAAGTTGTAACTAGTACCCCCATAAGCGTTCTTGAGAATTGGTCAACGCATGAGGAAACACTTGATTAGACTACGATACTTCTTCGGAGGAGTGATTACCCCTGCAGTTCGTGCTCTTGGCAGCCAAGTGAAGTTATTAGAGAGCCAGTTGTTTTTTTCACGAACTGCTTTAAAGGCAAGGCCCGCGATTATTCACTATCACAGATAGTGGACTAAGAGTTTCCATGTGAAGGACGAGGTTCCGAATACCTCGATAGAGAAAAAAAAAGCAGGAAAAACATGTCAACTGTTCCCCACTAAATGCGCACAGGTGGTTTTCCGATAAGGACCCTACAACCGCATGAGTGGCGATGGCGCATTCATTTTCATGCTTTTCTCGTATTACAGCTCCGAAAGGCGGGCTCTGAAGGCGGGGTCTGGAGGCCCAGTCACCGGGTATAAGGAGGCGTCACTGAACCTATACTGCGCTATAGCGCCCCTCCCTTACACCTTTTTGCGGCGCAGTCGGTACAAGGTTGTTCGCCGCGGACCACACTAGCCTCACGACCCCATATTTACACCTTCTTCACCTAACCGCGGTGCCCTCAACACATTGACGACAGCGTGATACGCATTTGAAGCGCGCTTTGTGGGCCACGTGGGACGCGCGAATTGTATACGAATCACGATCAACAAATCCATGTCTTTCACTAGTGCATGGTTTTTTGTTTAATTTCTCCTATTCGTTCTATGGGCCAACCCTTAGTATACTCATACAACACGTGTTCCATGGAATAATTTACTACACACTATTTTAGCAAAGATTTCCTGTGGAAAGAGCACTATAAGCTTGAATTGGTTTGCTCCTCATTTTTGGGTTTTTCGATTGCTATTTAACTCTTTGCCAACAAATACAGACGATGACAACATTGATAATGATGAAAAAATATACGGTGAAGGATTCTGAATCTTGTAGAAAGACGGTCCGCGTCTTTTATGAAAACATTGGTTACATCAGTTGCCGTTTTTATTTGAAAATGTGGCGAAGTACAAGGTTTGTTGCACAGTAGCAAGCCTAGTACTGACCATGAACCAATCCGCTGTTAATTATATGATACTACTAATGTTCTTTGCAAAATCGTTAGCATGATGTGCCAATATGAGGATGGAAGAAATGCGATTAATACGCCAGACTAGCTAGCGTTTAGGGCCACATTGTGCAGGATCCGCTCGCATATAATGGATCACACAAAGCGTTTTCTACATACCACTGAACCGGACAGTCGTTCAAATTTTGCCTCCACTCTTCTAGATTCCAAGAAATACATCTTCAGAACTGGAAAAAATTGTGGAATCAAGTTCACTGACTATTCTCCAAAATTTATGCTGAAAGGTATCAAATGGTTCGGAAACTGGGCGATGAGTTGAGAAGCTCAAAAAAATAAGACTAAAAGGATCGTCCCCGTCTCTAGATACCAAGAAGGGAGTTCAGGTTTGTTTTCAGCGACTAGCTGGTGGATTACATTTGGGAATTGGACGGATCACACATCTTGTATCCGTCATGCACAGATGTATCTGATGGTATGTATGACTTCTCATTTCACCTTCTTTGAGAGGAGTTATGGCAGTGCAACGCTTTGTGGCGGATTTATCCGCCCTTTTACCACAAGTTAGGCGCTGTATTGTAGAGCAAGACACCCTCTGTGTTCAGATAGCGCTGTTTCCAGGCAGGCATCCCCACAGGAGCACTGCAAAGGTCTGGGCCTTCAACGAATTCACAATTATCCCCTTTTTTTTCTTTATGACAGAAGCTAGCAAAATTGGTCTACGTATTCGAATTGGATACTCCTTATTACTACTTATTAAGACCCACGTATAGATCCATTTTGACTTCGGTCGTGCGTACCGCGACGTCAAAGGTTTTTGCACTAAACGATTATCCTTGTCCAGCAGGTCCTAAGCACGAATTTGCGATTCAATTCTGAGACATATACAGTTGAAATCATCGCAGTCAGTGGTCATAACCAGCGGATCCCATTTGCGGCCTTTCCACCACTGGTTGTTTTCTTCCTAAATCAGTCTCTACCCTACCACTGCAGGTGAACAGCAGGAGCAAGGTTTTAGAGTTAGCCAATGATTGATAATAGGTCTTGAGATAGAGTTAGCTAGCAAGTCATCAAAAAAATCAAAAGCAGAGCGAAAGTCAGGTGGTTAGAAAGGTTAGGTAATGAGATAGAGCTCCAAAAGGTAGGAAGTTACAATAGCACGTGTGCATGGGAAATGGATTGGCTATAGGGAATGTGCCCGAAAATTGCGTGGTAACTTTTTGGAATGACAAAGACACGTGAGCTCGGCATTGTTATTTTTTCTCTCAAAAGCTTGACAATGTTCGCTTAGTCCCAAGATTACGTGTTGCTGTCAGGTCAGCTCTCTGACTAGAGGAGCTGGGGCAATACCTGCCATTATATCCATTACAATTTCCCAGAATCTGTCTGTAAGGTTATTCCGACCCATTAGACCCAAATTTCACACTCGTTTGGTGCGAAAAACCCGTCTGAATTGCGCTACTGTGTCATGTGCACCTCGGATTGGAGGCTGATTACTATTCTCAATTTAATGAGGACTAACGAAGGGTATGGATGGCTGAAGTGATGAGCAATAATGTTCTACAAGAGTGTAAAAATCCCAGCCTTGTTTTCGTACCTGTGAGAACGCACGCCTAACAGCTATTCTGCTGAGCACCTCCACTGTGATGCTTCATAATTTAATTATACATGTGCGCCGAAGTTCTATAGCACAGGCAAAAAGTGCTCACACCTTCGTTTTGGGTCGGGTTTGGGGCATTGAGCAGATTTAGTCTGATTTGGTCAGGGTGGAAAGGCACATCTGCCAGTGTAGATCTCCCGAACAATGAATTGGTATGCTCTCCTCCTCAGTACGAGTAAAATACGCTAAATTTACCTGCATCCTCGCATCAGTGTAAACAGGGTAGTTCTTGTCCTTCTTTATATGAGGATCTACAATGGTAACCAATTTGCGGCCCTAAAAACTTGTGGCGAACCATGACTAAGTTTCTGAAGGCAATTTTCCCTCACTTTTGACGAGAGATCTTCGATCATTTGGTTGGGTTTGGGAACTTCTCCGCATCCCAAGTGAAGTATCGCTTGCCATCCGTATGCTCTATATCTAGCCACAGCACGTCAACAGGGAGGTCATGCTCATCGAATTTTTCGTGGACCTAGAAAGTAGAAGAGGACGGAATCGAACTTAGGATATCGACAAACCGCCTACCTCTTTGACGTCTTTCTGATCCATGTAATTCCATCGTGATTGGTGATAAGCGATAGAGAATTCCTTAAAAACTTCAACAATCCTCACCGAAGAACTTGCAGAACTCACACAACGTCAGGGTAACAATTAAGTTTATAGGATACTACACTACTGAATAGATGTTGACTTTCACTTCGACTTTCATTAAAATTCATTTCAATAGTTCTCCTTACCGGCGGTAGAGGATAAACACCGGTGAGTGCTGCTAGCTGACGAACAGAATCTGCTGGTTGAGGTCCAAGAGTTACGAAAAGTTCTATGACCCCAGTTTCGGATATGAAATGAGTGTTGATTTGCCGTACATCCTTTGCCTGCGTGTCAGCGTCGGCAACAACCTTTGCTAGCACACCCTGAAATAGTGCTTGATAAGTTTGTAGTTTTGTGGGCGAACGTTCATCCAAATATTTTCGAAGACAGAGACTTTTCAGTACAAGATAACTTACATCATGTTCAAATGCGTTTTCAGTCTGAAAGTAGAATTGGACAGAAAGGTAGAGCCTTCTCACAAGTCGCTTCACACTACAAGATTTATCTAAAGAACGATGAAGGGTTTTTCACCAGTGTACGCTATTCATGTTAGACGTCTTCCAACCGAGTCTTCTTCTGCAGCGAGGTCGGTTGCCTAGGACTTCAAAGCCAAGGCTTTCCTTGTCGGGCGGTCCGCAGGCATTCTCAGTGCGTGTCCATGAGAGCAGTCGCTGCTTTCGTGTCTTCAGCTGGTCTGGAGCTGTCTTCGTGATCGCCCTGCACGTCCACTTTCTAACACTGCCGTCCGGGGCCCATCTCAGAATCCTCATTTCAGCTGAACAAAGGCGCTTTTCATAATTCTTGCATGTGGGCCAGCACTCACTTCGTAGAGCATCGTAGGCCTTGCCCCACTGCCCGCTACACCTTATCCTTCAACGTTTTTGAACGCCACCGTCGCAGAGGATGCCTGCGGATTCTCTCCATCATCCAAGCTGCATTGATTCGAGCCTTTGCCGCTTGGTCCACACTGCCATCAGGTCGCTCCTCAGGTACTGAAAATCCTGTACTCCTCCGGTGCTTTCACCCTGGGCGTCAACGATGGGTTCGGTGCACTCTTTCAAGCTCAGAAACTTCTTCTTTACGTCAAGCCAGACAATCCCCATATCCTACCATCATTGCACTTTGCCCTCGAGTCCCCCCAGAACGAAGATAAATGCCCTACGAGCATTCTTGGACAGCAGGCGGCCGCGTCGCGGCTCACAATACTTGGAGCCAGCTCGCGTTGCTCCAGGCCAAATAGTAGGTGCGCAATATATGAATTGCTGGAGTAAGAGCTTGACGTGATTGGTAGGAAAAAACAGAGCACAAGGTCTCTTGTACCATCAAAAAGATTTTTCAAGCTTATTTCCAATTTTTCACGAACAAACGAGTTCTTTACAAACAAAGATAGGGATTTCCAAGACATAGCCAACCATCTAATTTGACTGGGTTAAATGTGCACTTCGGAGGAAGAAGTGCGAGTAATGAAAGAACACGGCATCACTTTGAGGCTGCCCACGTAGATAATGACAAACTAAATCTTTGCCCTGCGATTCAAATAAATTTTGCGCCTGGATAACAGGAAACTTTTCAGAAACACCAGTGATGGAGTAACTAGCAGTTTGCACTGGGATAGTTACCCCATATCGGTGCTTTCAAAGTATTTGTGAGTACAAGGAAGTGTAAGTCTTCTGTCGCGGACACCCTTGATGTGGGACCCTATACAAGAAAAGAGTGGAGCAATTCTACTTGCGACTCGCGAATAGGTTCCATTCCACGTTAAGGTTAACCGTGTCGATAAAGAAGTCTCTTCCTGAGGAACTTTCGAGCTCAGAGAAAACTGGAAAGAAGTTCATTTAGAGTCTTCTTTCTTTGAAGTATGAATACAGAACTAATTTCCTAGCTCTTGATTGTCCCATTTCCTTTGAATGACGGTCTTTCTCGTTAAGGACGTCTCATTGGTCATGGACCTACTCGCTAGGGAGAAAGCGAGCCAGTGAAAGCCGCCGGCCGCCTGCTGCTCGCAAATGTTCGTATAGCATTGAAGTTCTTGTTATTCCCCGTTATCCACTGTTACCGTGAAGGATGATTTGAGGACAGTTGCCCCTACATAAATTCCTTTGCCACGACATCCAGAGTTAGGAGGAATGGGAACGCGCTAAGAGCTGATTTTTGGTGTGCTCCAACCGTGTTATCTACTTCCTCTCGAATTGCTCTTGCTATGTGTATTCATTCCCTTATTCATAGCCTCCTGAGTCAACTCTCATATCGCTTGCAACATTTGTAATTGATGTATATATTTACTAATTATTTATTTTAGTGTATTAGATGAAGTTTAACTACCCAAGTTTGAGGTTGTCCTCTCAAGTGGTCTATCCCGCGTGGCATTCTTATCTTAGAAGAAAGTGCGAGCAGTTATCTTATTAGAAGACATATTCTCACTTCTAGAGGTATCCTTTCCAAAGCACGTTTTCAAAATGACCGCTGGTATCAACTCCAGCAATGTCCCATTCAGTGTCCGCGCGCGCCGCGGCGATCGCGATGTCGCGCAGACTTATCTAAGCCAGCATTCATACTTCGCGACAGCAGTGGCAATCACCGCGACCGTCGGTACGCGTCCCCAAATCTATTACTTGGACTGCTCCGACTGCTATAAGGAGAAATTGGCATAATTTCCTACTTTTTTCTTTTAACTGCAGTCGACTCAGGTGCTAGAGTCCGTTTTGACTTGAGGAAAGGTGGATGAAGCTTAATGGTTTCTTTCATTTTCTTTTTGATTCAGGATAGAAAGCAAAAAGCAAGGAGCTTTACTTAGTGTCACTTTCTTATCGTTTATTTTCCATCCTTCGAGCTTATACATGAACCTATGAAGTTTCCTCCTCCTCGATGTACCCATTTTGCAAAAAACAATCAGAGTTTTGATTTCCTAGGTGAGTTCCTTCCTGTTTCTTTTTTTTTTCGTTGTTTAAACTCGACTTGTAAACTAGAATTATTTGGGAAGTGAAAGGTTTGGTCAGTAGCAAAGTTTTAAGACACTGAATAAATTGAAACAATGAAAACAAGAGAAACAAAGAGAAGCTCACCTAATTAATGGAGTTGCACTTATCCCGCCCTAGATAAAGGTGAAACCATCTCTTCCCTTATGTTCCAGATCCTCTTAGTTAGAGAAAACCTCAGTTTCCAGCTAATAGCCATTATTAAGAGAAAAAGGTATTACAAGTTGGATTTCCTTTTTTATCACAGCGAGCGGTCTGAGCATTAGCGTTGAGGCGCACTCTGACACGTACCGACGATCGCGGCGATCGCCACTGCTGTCGCGAAGTAGAACGCTGCCTTACTCCGCCCAAGTGAAGAATGGGCGAGCGGCCGGAGCTAGCATAAGGCAGCGTTCATACTTCGCGACAGCAGCGGCGACCGCCGCGATGTCGGTACATGGCAGAGCGCGCCCAAATGCTATTACCTGGACCGTTCCGAAGGCTTTTAGGGAGAGGCGACTTAATTTTATGCTTTTTTCCTTTAACTGTGATTCTCTTAGGTACTGAAGCTTGGTTTGACGCAAAGAAAGGTGAACCCAACTTAATGGCTTTTGTGTTTTCTATTTTCTTTCCCGATTCAGGACAGAAATAAGCAAGAAGCGTGAGAGCTTCATTTAGGGTAGGTTTTTTATTGTTTCTTTTTTCATTCGTCGAGCTTATACATGAGGTTATAAAATTTTCGACGTAAAATGACCAGTGTTTTGGTTCCTAGGTGGGTTTCTTTCTGTTTCTTTTTTTTCTTCGTTGTTCGAACCCGACTTGTTAACTATATATTTTGGAAGTTGGAACAATTTATCCAATAAGAAACTTTTGAGACGCCTATATAAATTAAAAGAATGAAAACAAAAGAAACAAAAAGAAGCTCACCCAGGAAATTGAGCTGGCCCTATCCCGACCTAAAAAGAAGTGAAACCTCCTTACCTCATATTCCGGATCCGCTTATGTATAGAAGGTCGTAAGTTATCAGTTAGTAGCCATTATTAAGAGAAAAGAAGGCCTCACAAGATGGATTTCCTTACTTATCAAGCGAGCAGTCCATAATTGCGTTGGGGCGTGCTCTGCCACCTACCGACGATCGCGGCGATCGCCGAGGTCGCCGAGGTCGGCGCTGCTGTCGCGAATATGAACGCTGCCTCAATGGGCGGCTAATCTACCGGACTTTAGGGTATCAAGGAAAAAATGTTCACAGACAAGCTAAGACCCCTGTCCAGGCTTCCAAATACGAGCCGCCTTCCGCTGAGAATTCTCTAACGTACTACGTGGATCAGGATATGGTAGCGGTGTACAGCGAATCTGAGCAGCAGGCTGCATTTAAGGCGAAGTATGGAGAAATGAGCCTATCCTACAGTCCTTGATCCCCATACCCGCTTTTGAACGAGGAAACCGCTACGCTTCGACAGCTGGGGGTTCGTTAGCCCCGGAGACGCCAAAGACGCACCTCGCAGCTGAGCGTGCGTTGTGACTTTAAATGGAACGGAACCCAAGAACAAATCCGAAATTTGCTGTTTGCTATATACCCCCTGTTGGTGGCTTCTATAAGACTACTACTTCTAATAGTTGAAACTAGAAGTTCGTTGCTGATGACCTCCCCCCTCCCTGGCTCGACAGCAAAATTTTGGGCTGAAACTAGAAAATTTCCGGAAAGTTCCGGGAGAACGTGTAGGAATTCGGATCTAGGAAAGTGGTAGGGTGAATGGGGAAGGGGGGTCATATCAGAGGAGGGCATCAGGAGCGTGTTTTCCAGGAATTTTGCTAGCGGCAAGATGTGGCTTGTCCCGATCCCATCTACACTCAGAGTACAACATCGCGGTGTGTGAAATGGTGGTCTAGGTACGCCCCCCCCCTATTCTAGGGAGGATCCTTGGTACGACCCCCACCTAGATGAGGGTCTCGAGCCGACCCACCCCCCCCCTATTCCCAGCACGCTTACCTAACTAATTTCCCTACATTTTCCAGTTTTTTTACCCTAAAGATCTTCCTTCGACTGAGGCAACTCCCTACCGCTTTTCCACTTTTTCGGAACTTCCCGACAACTTCCCTACTTTTCACCCAAAAATTTCGCTTCTAAGCGGGTGGCGGGTATATAGTACACACGAAACAGCAAAAACCACGAAAAATCAAAAAGTGGGAAACATTTTTCCCCATCGCTGCAAGTTTCCCTCAAAGACACATGCGACCCCCCCCCCTCTCAAAACAACGACCGAATACGACCCGCACCCCTCCACAGCGGAAAAGCACGACCCTCCCCCCATATGTGTTTCACGCGTGTGTCCAGCCGTCCGCGCGGTGGCTCCTGAACTAGGGCACGCCATCGCGTTGTGATCATTCTCCGCTAAATACGACCGCTTCCTCAAAATAAGGGTCTTGTACGATCCTCCCCCTCCTGTCACGAGTGTACAAACGAACAGAAGCGCAAATGGACGAACAAAATGACATGCCAGCGCTATTTATCGCCCTGCTGAGGCTAAAACTGAGAAAAGGAAAGATTCCCCTCAGGCCAGGGTCAGTCTTAGAAAAGCGCAGATGACCATGGTGTCGTACAGTCGTCATCCGGTGACTTGATTTGGGCGGCAAGGAACGCGACGCAGCTGCGGTGTGTTGCGAGCGTGGCGATCAAACCAGTCTCCAGCCTATTTTAGCCATTTTCTCCATAGTTTGCGCTTTTAGCTGCCTTTTTCACGATTATTTTCTATTTTTTAGGTTATTTGTTCTATCGTCTATATGAAGTATATGAGGACAGCGGGTGTTTTCTTTTAATTTGCAATGGAGTATTTTTGCGATTTTTTCTGCCATTTGTTCGATTGTCTGCTTAACTGTCTAATTGTATGCAAAAACCAGAAGAATCTCAATCATAATTTCACCTGTGAAGACAAGAAACAACTAATCGTGAGAAAAGCAGTCAAAACAGCGAAAATCAGGGAGAAAATCACTAAAGTAAGCTAGAAACAGGTGTGGAGCACTAGGTTGGCACTTGTTACCTCAGTTTAGGTGATTTCAAAAACAATTCCTTTTCAAGAAATTTTCTCCGTTGTGATGCTGCCGTGATCATGAGGGGGTCGTTTACAAGACCTTACGCTTTGAACAACCATAACAAATTTCATACAAAGCCATTCGTAAAAAGGAAAACAGTGCCAGAGTTTCAAAGCTATCTACTTTCCAGAAAGGCTTTCGTTTTAGCCTGCTATTCAGAAAATTTCCCGTTGTGATCACAACGCGACAGCTGCCAGACGCCGCTAAAACCAACTTCTCCGGCGTCATAAAAACTCCAGTTAGCTTAAAGACTTTGGTATGTTTCTAAAACGCATGCTTTCGCCAAGAATATCGGGAAATAGTTCATTGGGCGCCAATTGGCATCACCTCTGTAATGCGCCATGCAACACCTCCTACGCAGAGGTGTTGGG